TGCTCCCGGTCAGCGGGGTGCTGGTGGCACAATGGCTGAGTGCTGAGCTGCGAGCCTAAGTCTGCTTCTGAACCACCAGCAGCCTCAGAGAAAAGGCGCAGCCATCTGCTCCCTCAAAGGTCCCAGCTTCAGAAACCCTCAGGCACAGCCCGACTCTGTCCCACTGCGCCACCTGGAGCAGATCTGGAGTCACTGGCCACAGCCCCTCCACAACCTCCAATCGTGGACGGGCGTGCTCCCAACAGCTCGGGCGGAGGCGCTGGCAGGCCCCGCACCTGCACGTACCACGCCCCAGGTGCTGGGCTATAAACTTAGCTTTGCATAAGTTTGTAGTACAACGTTCTGTCCTCTTCTCTAGAGCATGCTATTACAGGTTCGTTAAATGCTGCGAAGGGTCAAGGACTGCAGCCTTCAGTATGGACTGAGGCTCAATGTCAAGAAGACAAAGATTCTCACCACTGGACCAATTGGCAGCGTCAGGATGGATGACGAAGAGATTGAGATTGTTCACAGCTTCAGTTTGCTCGGCTCCACAGTCAACACTCTTGGCACCAGCAGTCAGGAAATCAAAAAGCGTATCGTGATGGGAAAGTCTGCTGTTAGGGACCTCTCTAAAGCACTCAGGAGCAACAGTGTCTCTCTGGAGACTAAGGTGCACCTGATACAGGCCATGGTATTTGCAATCGCTTGTTATGCATCAGAGAGTTGAACAATGACTAGGGAGGACAGAAGGAGAGTGGATGCTTTTGAGCTGTGGTGCTGGAGAAGGGTACTGAATGTACCATGGACTGCCAGGAAAACAAACAGATTCATCTTCGAGAGGATTAAACCAAGCTACTCCTTGGAGGCAAAGATTCGGGGGCTTCGTCTGACATATTTTGGACATGTTGCCAGGAGGGACGGGTCCTTGGAGAGGGACATCATGCTTGGGAGGGTGGAGGGACAGCGCAGGAGGGGAAGACCCTCTATGAGATGGATTGATTCGGTGAGTGAGGTAATCGGGATGGGTGTGTCAGAGGCGGTACGGTTGGCGCAGGATAGGGCAGGGTTTAGGGCTGTTGTGCATAGGGTCGCTATGAGTCGGAAACGACTCGACGGCACATAACAACAACAACAACAACAATTCTAATTCACGGTGAGAGACCCCATCTAGGCCTAGGAGAACCACCCCACATTCAAGGACGTGGTCGTCACCTGAAGTAGACTGCCAGGCCTCGCCTCAGGGGCACATCCAGATGGGTCTGATCACCAACCTTTCAGCTAAGAGTTCAGTGCTTAAACAGCTGTGCCACTCCAGGAAGCCTTTTCTATCCTGTGCATTATTTGTTAAACGTTGCCACAAACATGTTACTGTTCGGGTTTTATCATAAAATCATGCTTTCTTTAGGGCATTAACTAGATTTTAAAAGAAAAAAAATTTAGCTTACTATTTTTTTTGTGTGTGTGTACCGTCAAATCAGATCTGACTGGTACAGGAGGAGATTGTCCCTCCTTTTCCAACAGAGCATCTGGTGGGTTTGAACCATGTGCCTCTGGGATTGCAGTGCAGCTTCTTGCCACTAGGCCACCAGAGCTCCCTATTAACTAGGTTTTAAAGGACAATTCTGACTATAGATGACATTTACCGTCATCATAACTTTAGGACCCTGCCCCCAGGTAAACAGATGCAACTCCACCAATATCACTTCTCCTCCTGAGAGGAGACGGACAAACCACGATTGCTCACTCCGACCTCTGTCCTCTGACTCCAGCCTTCCATGATCTAGCTGCCACTTCCATTCAGGGATTTGTCTCCCACCACCAGCGTCTGCCCTCCACTCACAGTTTCGCTCCTCTTTGCTAGGACAAGGGCTTAGGAAGGTCATTTTGAGAGTAAGGTTTCTGCCAGAACCACAGAGAGTGTGTAGAGTGATGATACAATGTGGTGATTGTAATCAATGTCATGAAACAAAGTATCTACGAATGGTTGACTGCAATACTAAATTGCTCAGAAAACTTCCTCCCAAATCTTAATAAAAAGTTTTTAAAACCCCAATTCAGATAAAAGGAAACAAAGACTAAAATAAAACTTCTGGAACATAAAACAAAACCACTGAGATTCTGGAAGAGGAGAGTGGCTATTGAGTTGGTTGTGTAACTCGAAGGCTCCTCACTCCCTTGTTTTGGGGCCATGGGAAGTGGGTCTGAGACATCATCATCATTAAACATATCACACTGCTTGCAAGTCCGGTCAGAGAAAAGAGCTCGAAGAGGCTCCTGAAACCCAAATCAAAGGTGCCCTGTTACAATCAGATATTGGCGGTTACGCACTTTCTGGAATTTTAGTCAAAGAAAAGGAACCTTTTGGTGACAGGGGCGTGATGCAAGAGCAGTCATGCTTACGCACAGCCACAGACACTTTATTCTTTCTCAAAAGATAAAAAGTTGTTCTTAACAAAAGCAGGCAGGCAAACCTTTTCATTTCTCCTAAGTTGGTTCATATGTGGGGGGGGAGGGGGAATGAAGTTGTGGTTGGTGTGGTGGAACCTCCAGGGCCAGAGAAGTCTCAGCCACCACCCCACTGGGGGGCCAAGGGCCCCAGGGAGAGGCACCTGGCCGGTCAGGGGCTGGAAGCACAGCACAGCACAGCACCTGGCAGGCAGGTGGAGGCGCTCCAGAGAACCGCGTCTTGCTCCACTTATTACATTAATTTATGAACTGGTGGGGTTTGAACCCCACCTGCAGCCATATGGCAGACAGAGCTGGGGGTCTCCTCCTAGAAGCCTTACAGTTAAGAAAGCACTCAGGAGCAGTTCCTGTCACGTGGGACCTCCAAGAGTCAGAATCAACTCAACAGCAACAAGTCAGTGACATTAAATGTGTTCATCATGTTTGTGGTTTGGTTGTTGTTCATCATGTTTTGCAATCATCATCCTCTTCTAAATTCTCCCATCGCCCCAAATCTTCCTCCTTAAGAGCCAGCTGATAGTCCAGGGTGGCCTTTGGAAGACATCCTTGCTCTGCCTAAAATGACTATGAAACACCTCCATGTTTAATAATGTTTACCATTCATTAGCTGCTACTTCAGGGAGCTCTGGTGGCCTAGTGTTAAGGAGCTGCACCGCCAATCCAAAGGTACAAGATTCAAACCCCCCAGCTGTTCCATGAAAGAAAGATGGGCAATCTCCTCCCATGTGATTAACTGCCTTTAAAAACCCACCGGAGGGCCGGCGATGGGTGGGCTCTGACTTGATGGCACCTAACAACCACCCCGCACCTTCTGCTGTGGCCCCGTTTGGAGCGGTTGGTGGGGTGGCAGGGCGCTGACTAAGTGTTCAGGTCTCACCACAGTTTATTCCTCTGCTCAGTTCAAGACATTAGTTCTGTGTGCATTCAGCTCAAGGGACTGAAATGACCTCTGGTCATTTTTGGGTGTGAACTTTTCGGATAATATATGATGAGCAGGTGAGGTTTAGGGGCCTCTATGAAGGGACATATTGTACCGGAAAAGTCTGTAGTCACGGACCCCTCCAAGTTATTGAGGAGCAGTGTCAGGAGAGGACTAAAGTACACCCAGTTCAGGCCATGGTGTCTTCAGTCAACTGCTATGACAGGACGACAGAAGTGGAACTGATGCCTTTGAGCTGTGGTGCTGGAGAAGAGTGCTGACTATCCCACTAACGGCCAAAAGAACAGATGTCTTGGAGAAGGAGCAGCCAGACAGAGCTATTTGGAGGCCACGAGGAAGCTGTGTCTCTCATACTTTGGACATGTTGTTAGAAGAGGCTATTCCTTGGAGATGGACATCATGTTTGGCAAAGTGGAGGGTCGGGGAAGTGGCGAAGCCCCTCATTGAGATGTGCTGACACAGTGACTGCACCATGGGTCCAAGTGTGTCAGGGATTCTGAGGACGGCCTCGAGTCGTACGTGACTGGACAGCACATAACAACATTGCTGGAAGGTCAGAGCAGACCCCTAGCTGGCCCTTCGCTGGTTTCTGGGGTTGTGCGTTGTGCAGGGGAGAATGCCCATCTTTCTCCTGTGGAGTGGCTGGTGCAGCTGCAGTCGGAGAGGCTCAGCCTGTTACCAGCACAGCTCCCTCCAGACTGCACCACAGAGCTCCCTGAGAGGCTGAAGGAGATGTGAATCTGAGCCTGGTTCTCCCACAGAAAAGTCAGTTCGTCACCCACATACCAAGCAGCTAAGCCCTGTGAAGCCCCCTTACCTTATCTCCTGCCCTTCTGGAATGACCGATGACTCTGCCTTTCTTGTCCATCACCTTTATGCCTCTTGCAGGCTCCAAAACTCGGGATAGAAAAACATTTAACGCACTGGCTTGGGCTGAGGATTAGAAAGGAACAGGAAGGATGAGTTCCGGTTCTGAGCAGTCCGGCAGTCACCTCGGGGTGTGCCCACCTCATGTGCCTCTGACAGAAGCCTCCCCAGCCCCCGGGGGCTTCGGGACCCACACCCAGCCAGGCTGGCTGCCCTTCTCTCCTGGGTGTGGTGAGGGCAGCTGGGTCAAGTGCCAGCTATCCAGTCTTGGATCCTTGCTCCAGGTTCCCCACCCTGAGCTCCAGTCCCACTACTGTGTAAGAAAGAATTCCAGGGAGAACCCCAAGATATCTGCCATGCTCCCCTTTCTTTACTTGCTTGGACAGGTTTCTAAAGGCAATGTTGCCAGTTACACCACAGACATAATTTTACCAACTCTCTAAACTGCTTCACTTTGGAGCAAGAACTAGAGACTTTGCAAACTGACCAATGTAAACTTTCCGTTAATCTGTCACTCTCTCTGTTGTCACACTGCCGAATGGGAACTGACATGCCAGCCCTTGATGCCGTGTGACTAAAAGTTATCTAACCTGCCCCCGCTTCAATCTTCTCATCTGTAAATGGGGATGATGCTACCCACCCATCAGTCACCATCAGATTGAATGAAATCATGCATTAATTAGAGAGCTCGTGTGGAGCCTTCCAGAAGGAATCCAGGGCTCCAGGCTTGTGTTCACCCTTTGACAACTAAAGAGTGTTTTTAACTGAATTATGTCTCCCCAAAATATCCTAACCCCTATACTTGGGTGTCACCCTGTTTGCAAAGAGAGCTTTCTCTGTCATGTTAATGAGACCTTGTCAGTGTTGTTGTTACATGCCACCCTCCGACTCACTGTAACCCTATGAACAATAGCTCTGGACCCTGGCCTATCTTAGGCCAATCTCACTGTCTCTGACACACTTGCCTCCAATGTCACAGTCACCACGTCCATCCATCTCATCCAGGGTCTTCCTCTCCTGTGCTGACCCTAGACCCTTCCAAGCATCATGTCCTTGCAGGGTGTGTCTTAAACCGGATGATTTTGAATTCACTGCCGCTGAGTCAGTACCGACTCACGGCGGACCCTTCGGAGGGTTTTCAGAGGATGTAGACTGCAAGGGAGGAGGCCGCCTGCCATTTTCCTCCGTGGGGCACTTGGTGGATGTGAACTGCCGGCCCTGGCGTTGCCAATGCAACTCCTCACTCATTAGGCCACCAGAGCTCCTTGAGGACTTTGTGATACATAAAGAGAGCATGTGAGGCACAGCAGCAAGTACACATGGGGAAAGATGGATAGACGCAGCGACTTCGAGGCTCACGGAGAAGACCGCTGGAGAAGCCGGAACAAGAACCCTCCTCCAGAGCGACAAAGCCTTCCCCTGAGCGAGGGCCCTGAGTGTCGATGCCCAGCTTCCTAGACTGTCCATGAAAGGTACCCACTGGTGCTACTTCTGTTATAGAAGCTCTAGCTAAGACAGCGGTATCACCAAGGGAAGTGTCACCTCTCAAACCAAAAACCTGGTTCAGGCTTGGTGGGGCCAGCAGGCTGCAAACAGTGGCTGTGACCAGCCACTCCGCGGCTGAGGGACGATCACTGCTAACAGTAGCTGTCACCAGCCATCCCGTGGCTGAGGGACAATGACTACAAACAGTGGCTATGACCAGCCACCCCGCGGCTGAGGGACGGAGGTGGCTGTGATGACAGAGAAAGGTCCCCCGACAGGGCCAGACAGCACGCCAGCCCTTCCTGCTCACCCAGGAAGACCACCGGAAAGGCTCTTCTGACGAAAAACTGAGCGAGACCATTCACATGGGAATACCTCATTTGTACTAACTGAGGAATTATCTAGAAAACAAGAGAATTGGGATTTCATGAGACCATAAGTCAGCTGGACAGTCTACAGCACAGCCAGCCTTCACCTGCCTGCTGGGACCAGTCAGGCGCCGGGCCAGCGTTTCCACCCAGTTTTTCAATTTAGTTGCGGTAACAGTGAGGTAGGGAGCTCTGGTGGCCTAGTGGGAAGCAGTCCCAAAGGCACATGATTCAAATCTACCAGCTGCTTCATGGGAGAAAGATGGTCAGTCTCCTCCCATGAGATTAATAGCCTCTGAAAACCTGCTGGAGGGTCAGCTATGAGTTGGTTCTGACTCGATGGTCCACAACAACGGTGAGGTGGGTGTTGGATTACCCACTGTTTACCTGAGAGGCGAACCAAGGCTCAGTGTCACACAGAACCACCAAGTCCTGCAGGGTCAGAGCCTGGATTCCAAGTGGGCTGCCTGACACCAAAGTCAACACCTGTAACTATTACATGTCCCCTCGGCCGAGGCCAGGCACAATTAATAGATTACGCTTGTGCATGCTAAGTTTGTTTTTTAAATTAATTAACTAATTTTAGTGTAGCGACTTAGAATTTTTCTTTTCTTTTATTCATGTGTGTGTGTGTGTGTGTGTGTGTGTGTACTGTCAAATCCAATCTGACTGGTACAGGTGGAGATTGTCTCTCCTTCTCCAGCAGAGCATATGGTGGATTCGAACAGCTCACCTCTGGGACTGCAGTGCAGCTTCTTAAGCCACTAGGCCACCAGAGCTCCCTGGGACTTAGAATTTTAACAATTCAACACCATCAAGTAGGAACAGACACACAGCTGACCCTCCACAGGGTTTCCAAGACAGTACAACGCAGGGAAGAGTCCATCTTAATCCTGCAGAGCAGCTGATGGATTTGAACCGCCCGCCTTTGAGTTGGCATCGCAACTCCTTACCCACTAGACTGCCAGAGCTACTGCACAGAAAATGCCTTTATCTTCTCATGTTTTCTAAATAATTTAAATTGGAACATTAATTAAATCTATAATCTGAGGAGAGCTCTGGTGGCCTAGTGGCAAGGAGCTGCAACTACAATCCCAGAGGCGTACGGTTCAAATCCACCAGACACTCTGCTGGGGAAGGAGGGACAATCTCCTCCTGTACCAGTCAGATCTGATTTGACAGTACACTCACACAAAAATAATAAAATAAAAAATTTAAAAAACCTATAATCTGAATAAATCTTTTCAAAACCTCCATATAAAGGAGCTCTGGTGGCCTAGTGGCAAGAAGCTGCACTGGAGTCCCAGAGGTGCGTGGTTTGAATCCATCAGATTCTCTTCTGGCAAAGGAGGAACAATCTCCTCCTATACCAGTCAGATCTGATTTGACGGTACACACACAGAAAATAATAAAATAAAATTTAAAAACAAAACAAAAACCCCTCCATAGAAAAGAAGGTGAAGAGTTTTTTAAAAATACCTACTCCAAAAAAGGTCGAAGAAACAATGACTCCTGCTCCGAGTAATAGCGTCTCTTGTGGGTGATGATGCTAAGAGAAAAGTAAAAGTATGTGTTTAGAAAATCTCATAGTTTCACTCAGCAAGGAACACTTTAAAATGGGAAAAGCCAGCTCGAGAAGGGCACCACCTGAGCTGCGCCCCTCTGGGCCTCCCGGCACTCACAGAGCTGGGGTTCCCGTTGATGATGTTGAAGGCTGTGGTGTAGGAGCAGAGGGAGAGCTATGGAGAGACGAAGGAAACATAACACACCAGGGTTTCAGGCAGAACAGCACTGACCCCTTGTGAAATGGAAACAATGGCTACCTGAGGTAGGATCATGGACTTTATTCCTTTTGATGGCATCATGGAAAAAAACACCTGTAAAAAAGCAAGCAAAACTGAACTATGAGGGTTTGGGGGGAGGTTGAGCCTGTGAGAACCCAGCACCTCCAGGGTGATGGTAACTGAGCCTCCAGAAGCTGGGACAGGGAGGGCAGGGACACAGGGACCATTCCTCAGTGGACAGGCCACTCCCAGGGCCCTAAACTAGCCGCTTTGTGGACACTAGGTGCTTACTGCCACGCCTGGCCCCACGACCTGCAATCTGACAGTGCAGGTCAGAAGTCAAAGGACTGAAGGGCAGGTGGAGGAGGGAGGGGCGAGTGAAGTAGATAAACACCTCAGGAGAGTCAAGATGGGTGAAGTTATGGGGCCTGAGTCACAGCGCAGGTCCAGGTGAGAGCCTGGTGGGGAAGGACTCTGGACTGGTGGGCATGCCACACTCACTGATCTCGATACACCCAAACAAGGATTGCCTGTGACCTCCGAGGAGAGGCCTGGCCACCTGATAGGACAAGATGCATGTGTTCGGGACGGGGTGGATATAACCCACAGGTCACAGGACGGGGTCGAGAGCTGGGAGATGCCAGCTAAGGTTAGGAGCAGGGTGAACATCTCCCTAAACCCCCAGTTCCTCCAGGGTGAGCGGGAGTTTACTCACCATGGGTGCTGTCAAAGGCAGGAAAGCTGGCAAAGGAGAGAAGAGCTGTTAGGGGGCAGGTGCTGAGGCAGACAGGGCATGGCCCAGAGCCAAGCCTGAGGGTCACTGAGCCTTGGGGACCGGGCTTGGGGAGGGATCTCGAGTCAGGGGGTGTACCTAGCCTGGGGTCGCACTAAGCCTGGGGGGGGCATCAAGCCTGGGGGGCATTTACCATGGGGGGCCTCAAGTCCTGGGAGTGTACTGAGCCTGGAGGTCTCAAGCCCAAAGGGCACAGAGCCTAGGGAGGCTTTGAAGGGGGGGCATGTGTCCATGGAGCCTGAGGTGGGGGGCATACAGCCCCGGGTGGGGCACTGGGCCTGAAGACCTTTGCAACACCTGCTGAATTACAGCCCTCAAAGGACATTCTACTTCTTTCCCCAGTGAAAAGAATAAGTATGTGCCTACGGCACAAAGACAGACTGAGCCTCCTCCCAGCCCTCCTGCCACAGGCAAGCACCAGGGACAGCTTCTCACGCATCCCCCAGGGGAGTTTCTTTATAGTGGGTTATGCTAAAGCTTCCCGAGCAGATTTGTCTTTTGTTCCACCGTCCACACACGTTTTGCCTTGGGACCCCTGTGACATTCCTCACACTGTACCTCTCTGTGGCCTCCTGTTCTCTGGAGACGGTGCTGATCACCCAGGTGTACACTGCCTTTCCCCTCACACACCTGTTGCTCTGTACCATCAAGTTAGAATCTACCCACAGCTGACCCTCCAGTGGGTTTTCAGAGGCAGTTCAAGTGCTCAGGAGGAGACCACCCGTTTTTCCCCCACAGAGAAGCTGGTGGATTTGAACCATGTGCCTTCAGGATTGCAGCGCAGTTTCTTAGCACTAGGCCACCAGAGCTTCCTGAAGACGTGTCTGTCATCTATGCATGGTTTTCCCCACCTGAGGGAGTTTTTAATAAAACCATCAGGACAGATGGAGTGCCCAGATGGTGCAGTGGTTAGTGTGCTTGGCTGAAAGACTGGAGGTTAGCGGCCCCTCAGAAGAAAGGCCTGGTAACCCACCGCCAAAACTCAGCACTGAAAACCCCCAGATCTCAGCTCTGCTCTGGCAACAGGTCACTTGGAAGCGGCTCAACAGCAACCAGGCTCGGTCTTATCAGAAGGTAGACGTCCCCCTTCTCCTGAGTACCTGAACCCCACAAAGCTCTCATTTATACCAAGGGAGACACCAGACACTGTTTCCTGCTCCACTTTGCCCCCTTAATACTAATTCCTGGAGATCCACCCTTCTAACTGGCAAATAAGCCTTACTTCACTCACTATATCTAATTCATTAGCTAGCGTCTGATTCAAATGAAAAGACTCACAACTCATTGCTGTCAATTTGTAGCGGACCCACAGCTGGTCCTCCAATGGGTTTTCAGAGGCTGAACACCACACGAAAGGAGACTGCCCATCTCTGCACATTTCATTTCCAGTATTTAGACATACAGGGAGAACGTCAGAGCAGAAGAGTCTTATTCCCTTACCTAAGTTTGTCATTTCATTTCCAGTATTTAAACATACAGGGAGAACGTCAGAGCAGAAGAGTCTTATTCCCTTACCTAAGTTTGTTGTTGTTGTTATGTGCCATCGAGTTGATAATGACTCATGGCAACCTTATGAACAATGGCCCTGAGCCCTGCTGTATCCTGAGTCAACCTCACGGTCTCCGGCCACACTGCCACAGTCACTGTGTCAGTCCACCCATATCTAAGCTGTACATGGTGAAAAGGAGAGAACAGAAATGATATTCCCAACACTAGAATTTGCGGACCTAGGGTTCCAAGTCACCAGTAACTGCGCAGAAGGGAGATGGGCATCTCCTCTCGTAAAGACCTACAGCCCCAGACGCTCAACGGAGGGCCGCTGTGAGTCAGAATCGACTGGGTGCTTCTGGGAAACATAAGCACTTATACGTATGTACGTGTTCTGACCCCATCCAGGACACAGTCTGCTTCACTCACCAGAGCATCACGGTCCAGGCAGGACTAAGCCCAGGCAGCTTGTGCCTCCTTCCAAAACCCAAGATCTCTGTGCAGCCCGAGGCTGCTCGTCTCCACCGTTAACCCCAAGCCCTCCGAACACTCCTTTTAAGCTCTGGTTTCCAGACTCATCACCAGACATCCCAGCAGGGAAAACCAACTCACCTGCAGGCCGGAAAGGAGCGGGGATCAGCTTGCTGCTATCTGGATGCACAGTGCCCTTCAAAAACGCAAACACACCGGTCAGCTTCACATCTGCTCATCTTACCCCCTGCCCCAGGGCTGCCTCCACCTCTCGGAAGCTCCATAAGGATCAGGGCAGAACTGGGTTCCAGAGGTTTTAATGGTTGGAACCTTACAGCGTAGGTCGCCAGACATTTCCTCCGCAGTGCCACAGGGAGGATCTGAACCACTCACCTTTCAGTTAAGGGGCAGGCTGTTCGCAACACCCGGGAAAGTTGGTTATTTTAGGGGACTGAAAATATCTACAGGGCTGACACTTACAAGACTTCTCTTCCAAGCCTCTTGCATCTAAAAAGAGAAACAAGAAATAATCTTTCAGGTGGCCTGTCCGAAAAGCGAGCCACATCGTCAGTCTTACTTCTCATGTTCCCTCTGCTCTGCCTCTCTCTAAGAGCAGAACTGTTTTTCCATCTTGTGAACAGAGCAACTCAAAACAAAGACATCAAATGATAAACAAGTCAACTAATGGCGAGTAGAGAGGGTCCACAGAGAGGGAAAGAAGCACAGCACTGACAAGTCCTAGGTCACTCTCTACAATCTTGGAAAAAGAGTCAAGGTCAACTCTTGACTCGCCCCTGCAAAGGCTCCCAGGGCCTCGGCACTGTGGCCCTGCCACTGTCTCTGAGCCCGGCCTGCTTCTCCTTGAGCAGAACGGCACGTGTGCAGGCACCGTGGAATCAGTCAAGCTGTCAGCCTGAGGCCTCAGCAAACTCTCCCAAAAAACAAGTGAAGCACGAGAGCTTTCTATAGGCGGCAGTGCCAGACTGATGGCAGGGGCCCCAAAAACGCTAGGGGTGTTAATAAATGACCCCTGAGAGGTGCTGGTGGCCAAGTGGTAAGGAGCTGCCCTGCCACCCCGAAGCCATTTGGTTCAAATTCATTTGATGCTTTATGGGGAAAAGATGGGCACTCAATCTCCTCCCATGTGACTTATAGCCTCTGAAAACCCGCTGGAGGGTCAGCTATGGGTTTGTTCCACCTCTGTGGTACATAACAACAACAACAACAACATGCAGGGATGCAATCTTTTCTGGAACCTGTTTACATTTACACTAGCAGTCAGATTCTGACCTAGGGAGCCTGCTAGAATTTTGAAGCTTGCCAGGAGCCCCAAAATCAGCCACAGACAATCTCCACTAATCACAGCTGCACAGAAAGAATCCTACTCCCACTGGGTTGTTGTTGGGGTTGTTAGGTGCTGCCGAGTCAAGCTCACTCAGGATTCTTTGTGTGTGTGTGTGTGTGTGTGTGTGTGTGTGTGTGTGCGCGTGAGTGTACCGTCAAATCAGATCTGACTGGTACAGGAGGAGATTGTCCCTCCTTTCCCGGCAGAGCATCTGGTGGATTTGAACCGTGCGCCTCTGGCATTATAGTTGCAGCTCCTTGCCACTAGGCCACCAGAGCTCCCCTCTCACTCAGGATTCAACGTGGAAGAGCGGTGCGCCACAGGGTTCCCTGGGCTGGAATCTCTATGGGAGCAGATTGGCAGGCCTTTCCTTGAGCCACTGGGTGGATTCGAACCACCAATCATCCAATATGCAGCTGTATGCTTATTCACTGTGCGATTAGGACTCCTTCTAATTGACTTAGGAGAAGAGATTGTCATATGTGTGAATTGAATTATTCAAGGGAAAAATCAACCTACTTTGTAAGCTTTCACTCAAATCACAATAAAAGGTTAAAAAAAAGAAAGAAGAAATTTGAATTGCACTTAAATGCCTGGCCCAGGTGTGATGGATACTGGAAAAGCTCTGAGACCATGGCTGTTAATCACCCTTCAAGCCTCGAACTGAAATGATCCCAGTGACTCGATCATGCCAGGTGAAACGCACTCCTTAGAACAATGGAGCATACATTACAAGGGCAGCATCTGTCTGGAAAGGACAAATAAGACAGGAAACACCAGGAGGAAGGGGGAGGAGTGCTGCTACAATGTTGCCATTGTCATCAAGGTCATGAACATGTGTATGAACTGCTGAATGGGAAACCAATTTGCTCTGTAAACCGTCCCCCAGATCACAATAGAAATTTCTTTAAGAACAAAACAATCTAACTCTAGATTTTTGTTTGATCTAGATCTGTTTTGAAAGCTGATCTTGTTGTATTTTCAAAGTACAACCCCAAGAGTGGGGGCAATGAGATTACAATTTTATGATTAATGGCCAAAACTATTCCCGATTTCAGACCATTCCTGCAGAATTCTCCTCAGGCAACCCTCCCTGCCCTGAGCCAGCAACACCCGAGCGTCCCAGACACACCTCTGGGTCCTTCACGTTCTCTCTGGCAGCATCTGTTAACAGGAGTTGCCTGAACTTCTCAACTTTTTCCTACAATCAGATTAAAAACAAATATCAAGAAATAAAGCGGTGACCTCCTCATCTCAGTGTCACACAGTCTTTGTGGTTGCCCACTTACACCCCAGCACGCCTGGAACTAACCTGTGCGTCCCACGTCAACGTGGTGGGGAGCCTGGGGTCTGCCACTTCTGGGGCTTCTCCAGCAGGGTCAGCCCAGGTAGAGTCATACCTCCTCCATCCCTGGGGAGCTCTCAGTTCAGCCCACTGCTTGCTGTGCCTCTCGCTGACTCTTTTTCACTGATATTATATGTCTCATAACAACCCCACCACCTGCCTAACAAGACGCCCGCGGTCCCCTCCCTCTCACTCGCCCATCCCAGTCACCCCATTCAGCCTTGCTTCCCTCTCGGATTCTTCTGTTTTGTGAGGGGTTTTTTTTAGTACATATATTTGTATTTTATACATTCATATACACTATGTTTCACTCATGTCCACTGTGTTTTATATAATGATTTATTCTCATAATTTCACAAAACAAACTGAAATACAGGAAAATGCAAAGACCGCTTCACACCCCTACTACCATCCCTCGGAACAGACAACTGTCTGTAAGCATTAGACCCTATTTCTCCTTCTCTCTCCCTAAAAAAGAGATAATCATCAACCTTAGTTAATTTCCTAGCCCATTCATTCTACCATTCTGGAGATAACAATGGAGTAAGTTTGGGTACGTCCTTCCGTGTATTTACGTGGTGGCTCAATGGTACAATTCTTGCCATCCATGATGGAGAGAGACCTGGATTCTATTTCCAGCCAAAGTACAGTGACTATAGTCTGTCAGCAAAGGCTTCTGTGTGGCTGTAATACCAAATAGCTTCAGTGGGACTTCCAAACAAAGAGAGGCCGGACCATGTACTCCTCAAAATCAGTCCATGAAAAATCGATGGATCACAGCAGCCTGCTCTGTAACTGGTCACGGATTTGAAACATTAAGAGCTCTGGGCTAGCCCGTCCACCCGGTGAGCAGCTATGATGGATACCAGCCACATGCGACTTATCAAGCTGGTCAGTCACCAAGGTATTGGGCAGGACCAGCTCACACACAAGGACAGCGCATGCAGCTGCGAGCAAGTTCACGGATGACACAAGCTGGCCCATCATCCGCAAAGTGAAAGCGCCAGTGTGTCAGGGCGACGTGCTCACCCTGCTGCAGTCAGAACGAAAGGCGCAGGGGCTGTGCTGAGGCCACCGCAGGATCCTGGATGTCTCTTCAACGGCCTGGCCCCTGAGGGTGATCTTCACTAAAATCTATGGTGTATTACTTCCTGTGGGGCCTTTATATGGAAACCAGCAGGGAATATGAAGTCATGGCAAACATGCCCAGCCACATTAAAAAAAAACAAAACGTTCTCGGCAATCCCAGAGGTACACAGTTCAAATCCACCGGGTGCTCTGCTGGAGAAGGAGGAACAACAATCTCCTCCTGTACCGGTCAGATCCGATTTGACAGTACACACACAAAATGGTAATTTTTTTTTTTTAAAAAAGCTCTGGATTTTGTGTGACCTCCTCTCCAGGGGCTTAGTAACAGGTTGTGCTGCCAATCCAAAGGCAGGCAGTTCAAATCCATCAGCTGCTCCTATGGAGAAAGATGGATAATCTCCTCCTATGTGATTTACAGCCTTTGAAAACACCTTGGAGGATCAGCTATGAGTTGGTTCTGACTTGATAACATGGACAACTTCACCCCAAGCTCTGCTTATGGCCCCTCTCCTCTCTGATTCTCCCATCGTCAGAGTAGAACACTGCTCCTCTGTTGTGGGCAGACTTCTGACTCAGCTCCGACTCACAGGGACCCAACGTACAAGTGAACCAAACACTTCCCGGTCCTGCACGATCCTGTCGATTGATGACTGCCTTCCAAACGAGGGGCTCATCTTCCAGCACGACATTAGACGACAGTCTGTTGTGATCAATAGGGTTTTCATGGGAAAGTGTTCAACAGTAGATCTCCAGGCCTTTCTTCCTAGTCTTACTCTAGAACCTACACTCAAGTCTGTCCACTAAAAACGACTTGCTGGTATTTGTAATACTAGTGGCATAGTTTCCAGCATCATGGCAACATTCAAGCCATCACAAACCCACAAACTAACAGCTGAGCTTCTCCTCCGGCTGCTCCCAATCCCAGCCACACCCCTCCTTTACAGGCTCTAGTTCAGTCTGTGGCCAGCATCACTAGAGAGTCTTTCATTCCACAGAAGTCTGTTTACATGCCCTTTTTAATTTCCCCGCCCCTTTTTCTTATTGTGTACCATCGAATCAGATCCGACTGGCAAAGGAGGAGATGACCCCTCCTTCTCCAGCAGAGTATCTGGTAGATTCAAACCACGCGCCTTCAGAATTGTGGCGCCGTTTCTTGCCACTAGGCTACCAGAGTACCCTATCACATGCTCTTTGTATCAGCAGCAACTGGTCTAGAACTCAGCACAACATATTGTACTGACATATGCTTTGATGTATCACCCTTCTAATCCAGCAAGGTCATTAAAAAAACCCCAAAACATAATATATAGATGCTTCTGTTATGTCAACTGCTTTTAAAAGGACCCATAGCTTTTATGATAATTTAAGAAGGGAAGGGACCCACACACAATCTTCAAGTTTCAGATTAAAATGTGAAATCTATTACCTCTGAAAATAATACTTACAGAGGAAATGACCACATTCGTAGGGTCTAAGAGTTCTGTCCACAGAAGAAATCTCTGCATAAAAGACTGAAGAGGAAGGAAAACAAAACAAAAAAAGACAAAAACACCAGAGAGAAGGTTAATTACTGGCAGCAGAAAAACAAAGATACAGTCTAACAACAACAATTGGTTTTCTGAGAAACTATTAGAGCCCTGGATTGCACTCTGCCTTCTCCCGGGTCAAATGTTGACAATCCTACTTTACAGGGGAGGAAGCTGAGGCTGAGAATGGTTCCAGAGTACTAGCGCAGCCCACAAGGAAGTTCCTCTTAAGTCTACACTTTAGAAAGAGGCAGACCTCATACTACAATGTATGCTACTGAACTTCGCAGGGACTGGGAATTTTTTATTTCTTTTTTTCCAAATTAAATGATGTTTGCGGCACCGCTACATGGGGAAGTCTATCGGCACCGTTTTGCAGATGTGCTCATGTCGTGTCACATTTTGGTCATTCTCACAATGTTTCAGACTTTTTCCTCACAGACCACAGTGTAATAAAGCACAGAGCACTCTGGTGGCGAAGCCCACAGGCTGCTGAGCCGCTAACCGAAAGTCTGGTCTCTCTGTTGGTCCTAATTCACCAGCTGCTCCAAGAGGGAAGCATGGGTGGTCTCCACCGGGCCACTGGGAGTCAGGACAGACTCACCAACAGCGAGTGAGTGGGGGGTCTTCAGAACTCAATCTCATTGCTGACCCTCCTTGGATGTCAACGGCTGTAAACTGGCCATCTTTCTCCTGCAGAGCGACTGGTGGATTCAAGCCTCTAGAGAGGCATGTCCTTTGGTTTAGCAGCAAAATCTTCCTACAGACTAGGCCACAAGAACGCAGACTGCACCCGTAAGCCACAATACAGAGTAAGCATAACTTCTATATAAAGCACTGAGAAATCAAAACTGTGAGACTCGCTTTTTCATAGTCCAGAATTAAGCCCACAATATCTGTAAGGCGTAAGGCATTATTACTGCACTTTGATACCAAATTGTTCCTGGGAGTTAAAAGCCTAGACTTTGGAGGCAGTTAAGCCTATATTCCATCCTATACATGAACTCATTTCCCTATGACCTTGAAGGATCATGAAGAAAGGGCTCACAATCTGCTTCCCTGGCCTCTTGTTGCTGTGTGTTGTGGAGTAAGAACCCAACCATAGCTGACCCTCCTGTGAATTATAAGAGGTGGTAAATCCAATAGAACAGCTGGTGGGTTTGAGCCACATGCCTTTGGGATTGCAGCACAGCTTCTTACCATTAGCCACCAGAGGTCCGTCCTCTTAGTGAGTATAAAGGTTTAACACCATGAATAAAGACCTGGACACCCCAGTTAGGACTCAGTGATGAAGCCTAGAGGCTGTGTGAACAGGTCACCCCAGACGGAGGTGGCCAATTGAGACGTGTGGGGAGTTCAATGCAGAATGGTTTTTGAAGGCTTCATTAAAAAGTATAAAAAATATTGCAATAATAGTAAATGATTACATGTTGAGTATTATTTTGCATCTAGAGGAAGACCCTCTATGAGATGGATTGATTCGGTGACTGGGGTAATCGGGATGGGTGTGTCAGAGGCGGTGCAGTTGGCACAGGATAGAGCAGGGTTTAGGGCTGTTGTGTATAGGGTCGCTATGAGTCGGAAACGACTGGACGGCATATAACAACAAACAACAGGTTAAACAGAAGATACAAGGAAACTTGTGACAACGGGAAATCAATAGCTGTTTTCCACCTGTGATGGGGGTCTTGCTAACAATTCTCTATCCTGTTATGGAATTAATCTGCGTTCTCCTTCTTGGACGAGTTTCAACCTTACACTTAGATTCAGCTTTTGCAAGTTTTAACAGTATTCCTAAAATTAATTTAACCTTTCCCCTTACCTTTAAAAACGTAGTTTAAAAAAGGAGAGAGAAAAAAAATCCCACAACACATTCCATTCCAACCCACAGCGACCGTGTAGGACAGATCTGTCCCCAAGAGTTTCCAAGGCTGTAAATGTTTGCAGGATTGTCTTGGTTTTGTGCACTCCCCCGGTTAAGAATTGTGCGCTTTGAACATTGCGCCACTGGGGGTCCTGGATGCAGCCCAGGCATTCAGGGTCGCCTCTGTGGCTCACGTCCTATTTCTATGGGCCATGATTGCCTAACACACTGCAGTGAGCTGAGACCTCTTACAGGGGTGGATGAGCAGCGGTGAAAACTTGGGGGCCCCCTCCGCGCGCTGCACCCACCAACGTGTGGAGGCTGCAGCTAAAAGGCACTCAGAGGACAGTGAGAAGCCAGGTGCGTGGTGGTGTCCTCTGCGAGGGTGATCTAGGGGTGACCTGGTGCCGACCCTGCCTGGGACCACAGGGGCAGCGTGGACGCAGATGCCCTGCAAGCAAGCGCTGCACGTGGAGGGCGCGCTCCGGGCCCATTTCCGGAGGAGGAAATCCCGCTCGGCGGCCACAAGGCCCTCAAGGTAGCCAGGCCGGGTGGGCAGCGTGCACCCCGAGAGCCCGAGCCCACGAGGCCCTGCCCCCGACCCGCCCGGCCCCGCCCCGGCCATACTGGGCGCTCCGTGATCCAGAAGAGCAGATTGGGCTCCATGAGGGCGGTGCGGCCACGGCTCCCGCTGCCTCCTCCTCTTCCGGCGGCTGCTGTGGGGGTGGAGGCACCGAGAGGGGGAGGAGCTTCCGGGTGGAGCCTGGCGGGAGGGGAGGGGCCTGGGCGGGAGAGGAGGAGCTACCAGGTGGAGCCTGGCCAGGAGGGGAGGGGCCTGACGTGGAGGGGTGGAGCCTGTAGGGAGGGGAGGAGCTGCAGGGTGGAGCCTGACCTGGAAGGGTGGAGCCTGCCGAGAGGCGTGGAGCCGCTGCTGGGGCGGAGCCTGGCCAAGAGGGGAGGAGCTCCCTGAGGGTGGAGCCTTGTCAAGGGGGAGGAGCCGCCTGGGGGTGGAGCCTGACCGAGGGGGCTGGAGCCTGTCTGGCAGGGGAAGAAACTGTGGGGGTGGGGCCTGGCTGAGAAGGGAGGAGGAGCCTGGGGGCAGAGCCTGGCCCAGAGGGGAGAAACCAGAGTGCGGGTCTGGGTTCCAGGGAGGTGGAGCTTGGGCAAGTGGGGAGGAGCCAGCGGGCGCCCCGCCCCAAAGCCCTGCTCGGGCTTAGACAAAGAGCCACACTGTGGGGTTGGTGCTCCCAACCTGATAGATGCTGCTTGCCGGGCTGACAATGGTACAACGACAATAACAGACAATGGAACAGAAGTGAGAAACCAGAAGTAAATCCTTATCCATCGATGGGCATCTTTCTTAATGGATCAAAATCTATTCAATGGGAAAAGAGTGCAACAAGAGCTATGGCTCACATCATACACAAAAACGAATCCAAAATCATGTGCTTTATAGTCTCTGAAAACCTGCTAGAGGGTCAATTGTGAGCCAGTTCAGATTAGATGGCAATGAGTTTTGAACTGACAGGAAATGCTGTGTCATATACAATCTTGGAATGATAATAACAAACAAAAAATATGTGAGTGGGTTATACAGGTAGATAGGTATGCTATATGGGTATGGGAAAGGATATGGGAATGTATGTGCACAAACAGATATTTGTGAGCATATGTATATACACACTCATGTGCTGCATATACATTTATAAATATAATAAAGTAGTAGAGGCACAGATGTATACTTCCTAGACATATCTGAGTATCTCCTTGGATTCATTTACTGGAGTTGAAGGCTCAGGACCATAGACTTGCAAGAGAACTAGGTCTACTGGTCTCCCTTAATTCATAGGTAGGGAGCTCTGGCAGTTTAGTGGCAAGAAATTATGTTGCCAACCCCAAAGTTCAAGTCCACCAGCTGCTCTGCTGGTGCAAGATAGGCAATCGTTGTTGTTGTTTATTACTGTAGAGTACAACTCATAGCAACCCTATGACCAAAAAAGACCTGAACCTTGTTCTGTAACTATTGTCATTTCTCTAAATTAATAGAGTTGCCAGAGGCATGCTGTTTAGGAAGTAGATGCCACTCCTACTTCCAAGCCTTTCTTAATCTGGGAGCTCCACCGAGTACTGTCTCTGAAAACTTGCTAGAAACTTGCACTTGATATGAACAGGGTCCAATTCGTCAGCACATTATAACAACAGTCCACAAGATAATGTTCTCCATTCTAGTTTGGTGAGCAGGGTCTGGGGGTCTTAAGCTGGCAGGTGGCCATCTAAGATGAGTGATCCCCTCTCGTCTAGAGCAAAGGAGGGGAGGAAAGCAAAGGCTCAGGGACAATCAGCCCACAGGGCAACATGACCCACTCTGTCTTGAGACCAGAAGAAATAAATGGTGCCTAGTTACCACCACCAACCCACTCTGACCAGGATACAGCTGAAGGTCTCAGAATGAGAGAAAAGCATAGAACAAAGCTGACATTTAACACAAGACCAGACTTACATGACTGAGAGAACTTCCAAGTCTGTCACCCTAAGATACTCTTTTAACTTGGACCTGAAGCCAATCCCAGAGGTCATAAGTCAGCCAAGAAATAAACTGGATTATAAACAGTAACAAGCATGAGGAATGTACTCCTCCAAACAATGAGCTGGATGAGACCAAAAGGTCAACATTCATCCAAAAGCCAAGATAAGAAGGCAAGGAAGGGCTAGGAAACAAAAACAAAAATAGGGCAGGCAGGGTAGATGTAGGGAGGAGGGCTGGCAGGGAGGGCAGGGCAGACACATCATGCAGGGCGGGCAGAGTGAGTATAAGGAGGGCTGACATATTGCAGGGACTGCCCTGTCCAGATCCACAGAGCTGCCCTGGGCATGTTGCACTATTTCTCAGTCTAAGGCCTTTTCCAGCCACAGGGCAAATCCAATTCCTTCTGAACAGATCCAGACTCCGAACAGAAAAAGAGGTCCCCCTTCTCCCACCCTTTCCAGCTTGGTCATGCGGTGTGAACAATTGAATTCCTGGAAGCTCAGGGGGTCTCGGAGGCCTGGGTAGGAGGCCCAGCACGACTTCCTTAGCTGTGATGCTGGACAAGTTTCTCTAGATTTGTTCCCATCTGTAAAATGAGGCCAAATCTCATCTGTTTCAGGGCTTCGTTGGGGAGTAAACAAGATAAAATATGTCAGAGCCTTTAAGAGAGCACTGCGCACGTTGGAAAGGCTCAGCATTGGCCAGTGGCTGCCAGCTGGTCTGACCCTCCCCTGGCCCCTCAGCAATGTCAGGGCATGATAGCATGAAGGGAGACTGGAGTTTTTGTGGTTCATCCTTGTGTCTCTTGAACAGTGCTTGACACAATGACATATAAAATATTTAAACAATTAAGAAATTGTTTAATTAATAAATTTCTATGTATGTCTGAGTCCCCTAAGTGTGAAGCTAACATTTTATTCACCTTCGTGACCCCCAAGTCAAATGGTTATTAATATAATTTACTAGTGGTGTTATGTGCCATCGAATGACTTGTGACTCATAATGCCCCTATGTACAACAGTTCTGAACCCTGCTCTATCCTGAGCCAACCTCATTGTCTCTGACACACCTACACTCACTAACCCAGGCAAGGAATCAGTCCATCTCATCCAGGGTATTCCTTTCTTGGGCTGTCTCTCTACTGTTCCAAGCATGTATGTCTTTCTCCAAGGAACAGTCTCTCCAGGCAACATGTCTAAAGTATGTCTGACAAATGTCAGAATCCTTGCCTCCAAGGAGCAGCTTGGGAAATACAATCCAGAACTGAACTGAAATAACTGCTTTAAGAATGTCAAGTATTTTGGCCCTTAACCACCCTTTGAGCCTAGTACTGTAGGGTGATACAGCTTTCGGTAAAACACCAGACCTAGCAAGTGAGCAATACCTCCAGGGAGGTACTCAGTCCTTAGAACAAACAACTACACAAGATCCCAGGGGAAGCATTTGCCCAGAGATAAAGATCAGAGGGCAGAGAGGGGAAAGAAAGATGAATGAAAACTGGAACCACAGGAGAGAGTTGATACAATGTAGCAATTGTAATCAGTGAAATAAAACAAAGTATATGAATGTCTGAATGGAGTATCAATCTGCTCTGTTAACTTGCAAAGAAAAAAATAAAACCAAACAAAAATGCCCTAAAACATCAAACCAAAACACCGAAGGCAAATATTTTAAAATAAGTTTATTTTTCATTATATACTTTACATTGAGCACTTGAAGAAAGAAGGTAATTACAATGATTTAAAAATCCAATCCTTACACCCAATAAACATAATTCATTAGACACAATCAATATCTAGAAATGTATGTAGACACAACAAGTGAATTGTGTAAACATGGTACCAGGGATGGAGATCATGCATGACCAGGGAAGTCACTCTGTCATTGTGTTGTCCTCAAAACATGATTCACTCATTCTTTCCATCACATATATATTCATTGCACGAGCAGACCTCAGAAGCTAACAACTTGGAAAGATGATTTTTGTTGATCTTAAGAGAAAACTGAGTTTAATAAGAAGAAATTCAAGGAGACAATTTCAGGACGTTGATCAGAAGCTGTAAATGTCTCGTACTATTGACGTGTATACTGTAAATAAGGCTAAGAGAGAAGAGTTTCTTTTCCTCATTGAAGACATGATCCAAGGTAGAGGTGAACAGACATTGTAACTAGCCATCGAGATGTTACAGGTAAGACTCCTTACACTGGAGCTAACCAAGTTTCAACAGCCTTTAACTATGTCATAAAAATATTTAGAGATGTTACAGGTAAGACTCCTTATACTGGAGCTAACCAAGTTTCAACAGCCTTTAACTATGTCACAAAAATATTTAGAGTAATATTTATGAATATGAGCATTGCTCCCCCCCTCTTTGAAGCACACACTGGGGTCTCTAACTCAGGCTTCTTCTCTAGCATAAGCAGCTCTACAGATGGACATGGGTGACCCACTTACTCATTGACTTTTTCAAAATATTCTTTAGAAGCAGTTGGGCTTGGCTTGATCTGAAAAGAGAAAAAAACCATTTAATTGAGTAAACTGACTTTATGATCATTGTCGCTTAAGTAATCTGAAAACTTATTTAAGCTAAAGCTCTTTAACTATTTTTTTTTAAAAAGATTAGTCCGTGTCCTATAAAATACACAGATGAAAGTTCTATTAACTTTTCTCCTTAGCATCCTGATGGTCCTGCCTGACCTCTGGGCTCGCTCCCAACCTCACCTCCATCACCTGGTCCCACTTCAGCTGCACCCTTGCTCCAAGGAAGGGCTTCTGTGGCTATCCTAGGCAGCAGCCCTGAGCGGGTGAGGACCTGGAAGCCTCAGTCCCACAGCTCTGAACAAGAAACTTACTGTAGGAGAATCAGGCGTCCAGTTGGCCGGGCAGACTTCGCCATGGGCCTCCACAAACTGGAATGCCTTCACCAAGCGGAGGGTCTCCTCCACACTGCGGCCCACCGGGAGGTCATTGACACTCATGTGCTTGATGACACCATTAGGGTCGATGATGAAGAGACCTCTGCATCAGAATGTAGCCTCATTAGCACCAAACAAGGGACAAACTCACTGATTTCCATTTACGCCTTTAATTCTCCTTACTGGGCACTTATTAAATTCTAGGACTGTGCTTAGAAATGGCATTTTCATTGCTGTACACAAAAGCCCTGAAGCCTGGTAGTTAAACGCTCAGAGGTTCAACCCTCCAGCTTCTCTCATTGGAGGGTAAAGAGTCACTGCTTGTTTGCATAAAGATTATGGCCTTGGAAACCCAACGGAGCAACTGTACTGTGGTGTCCCACAGGGGCCCTAGGAGTGGACTGGACTTGATGGTGAGGATTTTGGGTGCTTTCCTTATAAACGTTTATGGTTTCTTTTTATTTGAGTAAAAGTTTATAAATCATATTGGTTTTTTCATCTGATTAGTCATACATAATGTTTTCATAACATTACAATTGATTAATAATTAAAATTATGTGTGATCAAAACTTATATTGCTTTTCACTTCATTCAATTGATCTAATTATCAACTTGTACTTCCTCATTCCCTGCCTCCCATCTGTTTTAACTATCCAAGAATGATTCTGTGTGCAAACCTTTCTGTAAAAGTATATAGTTTCTCACTGAAATGAAAAATAAATTAATTAAAAAAAAAAGTATATAGTTTCTTAAGGACAAATGATTTACTGAAGGCATGACTGGACTAGGCCATCCGTAAATTAAAGACTGTGCCCTGACTGTCACGTAAGTATCTAGAAGTCACTGAACGACAGAGAGTGAAGACTTCTTTAGTTATTAGCGCTGTGGCAAGCATTCCTTAAACTGTTATCAAATCTTGGCAAGAAACCATTGGCTGATAGGAAGGGACAGCACTGCATTTTATTTGTATTCAACTAATATTTATTAAACGACTGAATTCCTGGTGAATGGGGTAAAATCCCATGGGAAAATCTTTGCAGAAATACTATCCTGACCTTAACTCTCTGTGGGAGAGTACCCTTCCTCCTCCTCCCGCTACCTGGGTGGAAGTGACCCTGGGAAGATTAGGGAGAAATGTGACCAGCAAGGCACAGAGAGCAAGAGGGACGGCTGCCTTGGCCTAAAAGTTTAGGACCCCCAAAGGAGGAGGCACTTCACCAAGGCTTGTTCAAACATTAAGAGGGGGTTTTAATGGTTTACCAAACTCTATATAAGTCCCCTAGAAATTAGGCTGAGTCTAAATGTTAAAAACAACTTTTAAGTTCCTAACAATAGATCTTACCTTAGTGCAATACCAGGGCCTTCCAACAGCACACCATAGTCTCGGGAGATTTGCTTCGTTAAGTCTGACAGGAGTGGGATGTTCATGTGGCCCAACCCACCGTTCTAGTAAAAAGGCAAACATGAGTGGTTGTTAAGACTGCATGGTTTCACATCCTGGACTGTGTGAGGCACTTATGTGAAACCCACAACAGTGGCAATACGTAAAAGCACGACAATGGGCACAGAAACCCCTGAAATAATTAGATATTCAAAGTTCAGAAGTAAAACTAGAATTTGTTAGTATCTCAAGCAAGGAATGTGGACCATGCAGAATAGAGATACCAGAGAACCTCAGCAGCCCCCACAATCCATGCAGAGTGCAGAACGCAGAGTTCAGGAGAGAGAGGTGAGCGGACCACAGCTGGCCTGCGTCACCTGCCCTCTGGGAATGTGCATGCTTTAGAAACCACATGTGGAAAGCGAAGGAAACATGAGAAGAGTGCCCCTGCCCCGCCTCCGCCACATTAAGAAGTGAATTGTCACATCTTAGGAGAACGTGTTATGGATGGGGAAGAACCAACAGACAGCCTGGCCTTAACAGCTCCCGTGCTGGCCTGTGATGGCATCATTCTGTTTACTTAAATCACACGTATGCAGGCAGGCAGACGGCAACGTACCTTCCTAGATGTATTTATCCAGGCCAGATGGCTGAAGTGGGAATCCACAGATACGGCCACAACCTCACAGTTCACATCGTGAAATTCGTTGGCCTTGTCACTAAACGCAACAATTTCTGTGGGACACACAAAGGTGCTGGGGAAAGGACAGACATTCTCATCAGAGAACTTGAGAGCAACGATGCGTGACTGCAACACAAAGCCGCCTAACACAGTTCAAGTGCTTCAAGGATAAAACAGACAAAATGTTTACTCAGCTTCAAGGACCCTCTGAGAAGATCGTTCTCTAGCTTTATTGTAAGAGGGGGGAAAAAGATACTAAGAATAATTTTATTTATAAGTTTTTTTTGCTTCAGGGAGCTCTGGTGTTCTAGTGGCAAGAAGCTGCACTGCAATCCCAGAGGTATGCAGTTCAAATGCACCAGATGCTCTGCTGGAGAAGGAGGGGCAATCTTCTCCTGTACCAGTCAGATCAGATTTTATGGTACAAACACAGAGAAAATGGAAAAAAAAATTTTAAAAAAAGGTTTTTGCTTTGTAAAATATACCACTTATTCTTACTGTTTTCATTTTTCTCTAGAGCAGTGAGAATTTCAGAAAGGCTGGTCTGGGGGGAGCTCTGGTGGCCTAGTGGCAAGAAACTGTACTGCAATTCCAGAGGCGCACGGTTCGAATCCACCAGATGCTCTGCCGGAGAAGGAGGCGCAATATCCTCCTGTACCAGGTCAGATCTGATTTGACGGTACACACACACAAAATAAAAAAAAAAAAAGAAAGGCTGGTCTGTAGGAAGAACATGAAATACCAACCCGAACCAACCCACTGCAGTTGACTTGCCTTCAGCTCACAGTGACCTTACAGGACAGAGCAGAATCGCTCCCCAAGGTCTCGCAGGATACAGTTAGGCTACCAGCTAAAAGGTTAGCAGCTGGAAGCCCTCAGCCCCTCCGTGGGAGAAGGATGAGCTAGTCTCCTCCTGTTAAGATTTATAGCTTCAGATAGCTGGTGTGGGCTGTCACAAGTTGAAATCAACTCCATGGCAACAAGTCTGCTTTATTTCTTTTTGTTATTCGTTTATACAGAAGCAGACTGCCCCCTTCTTCTCCTTGGAAGACATCAGTGCAGCTACTGAGTTTGACCTGCCAACATTTTGGTTAGCATCTCAGTGCTCTCATCACCACTGGGACAAATAAAACAGCCACCTTCAAACTCAGCCATTGAAAGGCATGGCACCCCTAGGAGAATCGCTTGTAAATGAGCTATAGCCAAGCTGTAATCTACAAAGCCATCAGTGGCAAAGGCCGGAAGACTCTTCGCCAAGCAGAAGTGTAACCAGTGGGGAGGCAGGGGTCTATGTTTGCCCAGAAATGACACTTACAAGTCCAAGGGGTAGAAGAAAAGCACCAAGTACTTCCCCTTAAAGTCATCAAGGCTCAGGTCTTTGAACTCTCCATTGACCACGGCTGTGCCCTTGAAATAGGGGGCATGCTGGGTGACGGCAGGGGCCAGGAAGGAGGAACCTGCAAATCCACAGAGGGAGGCAGATCATCATCTGCGAAGCACCTTTTTTGTTTTCCTTTAGTCACTGTCTGTGGTGCCCACGCCCACTGATTAACACAGTTACTGTGTTAATCAGGGACGGTCTTGCTCTTTTTTCACTCTCTACCTTCCCCAGCATGACGTCTGTCTCCAGAAACTGGCCCCTCGGACAACATGCCCAGTGCGTGAGATGAAGGCTCACCACCCTTGCACTCCAACTACACTTCCCCCAAGACAGGTATGTGTGCAGTATGGTGCTTGGGTGCCGTCGAGTTGAGTGTAACTCACAGAGAGTCTATGAATAACTGACCTGAACCTTGTCTAATCCTGAGCCATCCTCCCTCATAAGCTCAGACACACGCAAGCCCACGGCTGCAGTCACTGTCAAGCCACCTGGTTGAGGCTCTTCCTCTCCTTTTCCATGACGTCCCTCTCCAAGGAATAGTCTGTCATAGAAACATGGCCAGAGCATGAGAGACAAAGCTTTATCATCTTTGCTCCAAAGAGCACTCTGGCTGCACCCTCTCCAAGACACAGCTGTTTGTTCTTTTGGCTATCCATGGGACTATTCAGTGCATATTTCCAGCACCACGACTCAAAGGCATCAAGTCTTCTGTCATCCTTATATTCACTGTCCAGCTCTTAGATGCACAGCAAGCGACTAAAAAGCCCATGGACCGAATCAAGTGCACCTCAGTCCTTAAACTGACATCACTGTTCCTTAATAATCTGGAGAGGTACTGACTAGACTTTCTTAGTGCAATATGCCTCCTGATCTCCTGACTGCTGGTACCAAGTGTACTGATGATAGATCCAAGTAAGATGAAGTTGTTGACAGTTTCAATCTTTTCTCCATCTATCATGATCTACAGTGAACACTTGCAGTATAGACCAATTAAAAGGAGTCCTGGTGGAAAAATGGTTAATCACGTGGTTGCCAACTGAAAGGCTGATAGTTTGAACCCACCTAAATGGCTCTGTAGAAGGAGAAAAAGATCTTAGCAACTTGCTCCCATAAAGATTACAGCCTTGGAAATCCTATAGGGCTACAGGGCCACCATGAGTTGAAACTGACTCAACAACACAGATCAACATAAATTAATGAAAGGGTTCAGCTCAACAGTACAACTGTGATATAATAATTTTGTTCTTTGGTCTAGTTCTAGAATGTACACAAATTCAACTCAAAATGCTACGGAAACTAAGAGAGAGCAAGCAGAACCTTGTAGGCTGGCGTCAGGGAGGACTTGGCACTGGAGACAGATTTTAAGGATGGTGCGGACTTGCAGAGTCCGGAGGGGAGGAGGGAGGAGCAGAACACGTGTCTGACGAGGGCAGAGCTGTGCACGTGCGTGGAAGGCCATGAGCCAGCGAGGATGGTTCAGGGCCAGCTTCCTGGCCTGAGTCCAGCACACAAGTGTGTCCGGCAAAGGAGAGAATGAAGCTGGGGGAAGTTTTAAACTATGAGGAGCCAGTGTGTTCAGGGAGATTAGTCTGGCAGAGGCCAAGAGATCAGGAGCAGAGACTGATGTGAGGAGGAGATTTTAGTTATCAATGTGAGAGGCCTTGGGGAAAGGGGTGTGGCAGACAAAGACAAAATAATGGGCATAGGCGATGTGGCAAAGCCAAAGAGAACCTGTCTTCCTGCGGTTGGAGGACAAAGGGGACCTAGTCTCAGAACCTGGGCTTCAGTGTGAGGACCTCTGAAGAGAAACGGGGGAGCTAGTGGGCACGAATGTTAAACCTGTTGAATCAAATAACCACCAGAAAGCCTTTGAAGCTCCACAGTAACAAAACTGGGAACCTTCAGCATCCACAGACAAAGCCTTCAGGAAGGTATATGCTGTGAGTGGTCATACGGTTGATTATGCCTCTGAATGAAGGCAAAAACTATTGACTGCACCACAGACTGCCAAAAAAAAAAAATCCGTCTTGGAGGAAACGCAGCCAGAATGCTCCTTGCAGGTAAGAACTGCAAACCTTCAATGTGTGCACCCTAGACAGGTTATTAAGGGGGACCAGTCGGCACTAGAGGTGATCATGTTTGGTAAAGCAGAGGGTTAATTCATGACAAGACAGAGTGACGCAGAGCCTCTACCCAGCAACAAAGCTGAGACGGGCCTTGTCTCGTTCTCTTGTGCAGAGGGCCAGTGAGTAAGAAACAACTCCACTGTACCAGCAAGAACCTTACATCTTAAACAAATGTTTTTTTCCAAAGTGGGGCAAACCTGAAAAGCACAACAAAACTCAGAGCTGCTGAGTCTGAACCCACTCGTCACTGACTCCCCACTGGGTTCCAGAGGTGGTGAACTGCGAGGGGGGAAGCCCATGTTCCTCCGCCCGGAGTCACTGGTGGATTCAGATCGCCAGCCGTGTGGGTTCTGGGTCAGCAGCACAACTCCTTAGGGCCTAGGCCACCAGAGCTCCGCTGGACAAATCTAAACAAGCACTTTCAAATACTCATCATTGAAATGGGCAGTTCAAATCCACCAGCCACTCTTTGACAAAGATGGGCATTTTCCTACCATTAAGATTTACAACATCAGGGCACTCTGGTGGGCTACTGGCAAGATGCTGCACTGCAGTTCCGAAGGCACACAGTTTGAATCCACCAGATGCTCCCCTGGAGAAGGATGGGCAGCCTCCTATGCTAGATGGATCTGACTCAAAGCACACAACAACAACAACTAAAAATAAAATTAAATAATGTGTGTCACACAAAAAATTGTTATAAAAAAAATATTTACAACATCAGAAACCCGGTAAGATGTTGCCATGATGGGAATTAAACTGGTGGCAGAGGGTTTGGCTTTTCATTCATTACTGGAGGCTAACCTCAGCCAAGATCACATCCTAAGTTGTTGTTGTTGATGACTGCCTTCAAGGTGAGCACAACTCCTCCTAGCGACCCTCTGAACAAAAGGCCTGAAGCCCCTCTACAACTATCAACATTTTTAAAGTTCATAGAGTTTCTGGAGACAAGTTGTTTAGGAAGTGGATGCCACTCCTGCTTCCAAAGATCCTAAGGAACAGTGCCAAGTTCAAGAATCATCTGATGGGTTCCTATCGTAAGAGGGTAGATCTCACTGGGATGGTCTGTTTCCTAAGGATCAAATGCAGCCAGCAGCCATGGCTGTGAATGGCCCTCTCTTAGTTCCCCTCAGACAACTTTTTACACACATCAGGCTCAAAATGCACCTGAGTTCCCCCTCTCACGCCCCTCAATGTGCTGTTGTGCCACTGAGTCCGTGCAGACTCATAGAGACCAGACATGACAGGGTGCAACTGCTCCACGGGGCGTTCCAACCTTTACAGGAGAAGCTCGCCAGGCCTCTTTTCCTGTGGAGCTGCTGAGTGGGTCTGCACTTGAGTGTGTAACCACTGCACCACCAGACTCCACACATGTCGCTGCTGTTAGGTGCCATAGCCTCATAGCTGACCCTCCAGCAGGTTTTCAGGGGCTGTAAACCACACAGGAGGAGACTGCCCATCTTTCTTCCTTAGAAAAGCTGGTGGATGTGACCCTGTAGAAGACTGAAAATACTGCTGACTAATAAGGAAACGTGGAGCAGACAGGCTCACTCAGTGATTCCCAACTCAGGTTATGTTAGAAGCACCCAGAGAATGGAAAAAAACTTGAAAATCTAATGTCCTGGTGCCACCCTAAGAAGCTGACCTATCTGGGGTGGGGTTAAGGGGTATCTAGTGTGGAGGCCCTGGGCCAGAGATGATGATCTTGGTTTGGTTTTGTGGTTTTTTAAATTCATGTTTTCTTGCGTTCTGCCAGGACATAACACTTACTGGTGCTGAAGGTACATTTTGCTTGAGGGGAACGAGACCACCAGTTAGTCAAGCTCTTTCTTCCGGAAGCAGCTGGCCTTAGGGCCGCAGAGATGGACATGCCCCGAGGGATGGAGCTCACATGTCTGGCCACCTGGGAAGAGAACCACTTTGCATTAGGGTGCATTTCTGCAACGGTGGCTGAAAGCTGTCCTTGTTCCTGGGACCCAAACCCCAAACCCCAAGAAAATGGAGTCTCTGTGTTAACATTCTCTTCTGCCTCTCTCCTTCAAGAAGGCAAGGAAGAGAAGAAATAGTAAGACACAGGAACTGGAGAATCAAAATCTACATGCTCTTAAAAGCAACAGAGTTTAAATTCCAGAGAGGTTGGGCTATCTGTTGGGTCTGCTATCTGCTGGGCCGGTTCTACCTCTTAGCTTTTCTTAGAAAAACAGGTCCCACCTAGCCTTAAACAAGTAACTTAAGCAAGTAACTAGGGCAAAAGTTCAGCCATTGCAAAGGTTTGGCCAGAGCTCAAAGGCAATGTTTGCTCAACTTTAACATCCAGCATGACGCAGGAAGAAGGGCTGTTCCACCGTGGGAAGGGGCGGGAGGCATGACTGAGGACAGCAGAGAACCAGCAGCTCGGACACCCCGGCGGTGGGGGTGGGGGGAGGTAGTGACCATGTCTTCTGTGACCTGAGCACTTTGCACCTGTTTACGGGAATGCTCACGGTCACCCTAGAACGAGGCATCACTCTCTACATCTTGCAGATGAACAGAGTTCAGAAAGGCTAAGTCTCTCGCCCAAGGTCAATCAGTCACAAAACCAGGACCAGGAGCCAGGACGCCTGTCTTCAGGGCCAAGATTAGGCGGAGAAGGGACTAGAGATCCGAGACTGAGAGAGTAAAGATGGGCAACAGACCACGAGGAAGGATGGCGGGAGGTGGTCAGGGACAGGGCTACTCTGCGCAGGCGCACTGAGCCTCCTCCGGAGGCCTCCGGGTCCGTTATCTTTGACCCCTCCACGAAGGGCCATTGTCCCTCAAGCAGCACAAAAGCAGAATCCCGTCTAGAAAGCACGGCCCAAGAGCATGGCGGTGACTCCCCGCCTGTCCCTGGAGGAGACCCCACTCACCGAGGCCCAGATCACCCTTCCCGTGGAGGCCGCCATCTTCAATGCGCGCAGCGAGCGCGGGGCGGGCCTAAGAGCAGAGGGGGCGGGGACTGCAGTATATGGGCGTGGCTTCAGACAGACGCGGAGCCGCGTTTACGGGCGGGGCTCGCTTGTGGGCGTGGTTAAGGGCCTGGGCTGGGCGGAGGGGACCACTGACTTCCCGCCTCTGGAAGTCTCCTGCTGGCTCCCTCCACTCCCTGTTGACAGGGCAGTTCCATCCCTGGCTTCTGCAAACTCTAACGGTTGGGAAAGGCTACATTGTGTCTTATTTGTCACTCTGACCTAAAAAGAACTCATCCAAGTGACAAACTAAATTCCAACCAGCTGAGTCTATGCAGACTCGTGGGGACACTACAGGGCAGAGTAGAACTGGCCCATGGGGTTTCCAAGAATCTAAATCTTTGTGGACGCTGACTGATACATCTTTCTCCAAAACAGCAAATGGTAGGTTCAAATCACTGTTCTCTGGGGTTAGCAATCAAGTGCTTAACCTCTGCGAGACCAGGGCTCTTTGCTGGGGAACCTTCCGAGTGGAAGCAAGTCATGGCTGACCAACCCCCCTGTGGGTTTTTCGAGGCTGTAAATCGCACGGAGAAAGCTTTCTCCTGAAGAGCTGCTGATGGAAGTCTTTCGCTTGGCAGCACGACTCCCTGCGGACGAGGCCACCAGATCTCCCCAGTGGAGAACCGGACATTACCATATGCTGAATTTTTTAAACTTGATATGGACCAGAAGTGCGTGGGTGCCTCAAGTGGTCCTGCAGTTTACACTAGCCCAATAACCAAAAGGTTGGTAGTTCAAATCCACACAGCAGCACCACAGAAGAAAGGCCCGATGATCTACTTCTGTAGAGATTACCTCTAAGAAACTCTATGGGCACCCTTCAAACGTGGGAACTGAACTCATCCCACAGCCCAACTTTCAATCAAACAGCAGGCATAACTAGAAGGTAAATAATAATACTAGGGAGGTACTAATTCCTTAGAACAACCCACTACATGAGATCAAAAGGGCAGCATCTGCCCTGCTTAGACGGCAGGAAGAGACAAGAAAGAAGGACCAGTAGAAATATACGGAGGAAATGTGAAGCTTGCTGCTACATTATGAAGAGTGTAGTCCTTTGGGTGCGTGGCCAAGAGGGACTGATCCTTGCAGAAGGACATGCTCCGAAGGGTGGAGGGACAGCACTGAAGAGGAAGACCCCAGATGAGATGGATTGACAAAGTAACTAGAGCAACGGGGCTAGGTGTGTTGGAGTCAGTGAGACAGGCTCGGACAGGGCAGGGTTCAGAGCTATTGTCCATAGGGTCGCTATGAGTTGCAGGTGACTTGATGGCACATAACAACAATAGTCAATATAAACAATGTCATAAATAAATTGTTAAATGGAAAGGTTAGCTTGCTCTGTAAACACTCACTTAAATTAAAAGAAAATGTTTTTAAAAAAAAATTAATAATTACAGCCCAGGGGAAAAAAACTATATTGGCAAGACCCCCTACCTACTTAGAGCTTTGGTAGACCCTCTGTCTTTTTCATTTAATTGCATAAATTATCAGTACAATTTCATTATTTCCATTACATTACTAAATGCTCATTGGTACTTTGAAGCAAGCCAGGAAACATAGCTTCCAAGTCCCAAGATGGCCTCACTCCAATTCATCTACGTGACAAATGTCAATCTCTACCTTACTTATTCTGTCACCAACTTGGGGAATTCTGGGGTCCCACTGGTAAGAAACTGCTGAAATACCAAAGGCTTGTGGTTCGAATCCACTAGCTGCTCTATGGGAGAAGGATGGGCAATGTCGTCCTGTCTGACTTGACAATATATAACAACAACAACATCAATAGCTTACTCTGTTTCTCAAATCTGCACATCACCTGCTTATCATTTATCATCTTCTTTAAGTTGATTCACTTTAAAAACTTAACTTGCTGCCCCAGTTTTCTCACTCGTCAGTGGGAATGCTAGGAACTTCCCTCAAAGAGTTAAGGAAGCCTGGTGGTATAGTGCAGATTGTATCAGTCTGCTAGACTAAAGGTTGCTAGTTCAAATCCTATTTCCCTGGAAAACAGATGGGAAGTCTGTTCCTGTAAAGATTCAGAATCTACATGATGGCAGTCATTTTGTTTTTGGTTGGTGTAGAAGTTGACTGAGGAATTAACAACCCCTCAGACTGAGTATTTGAAAAGAATTCTGCACAGTAAGTAACAAGTGCTGTGTTTGTTGCATTCATGAAAGAGAAAGCCAGGTCAAGAGTCATGTGAGTTTAGGGAAAAAAGACCAGGAAAGACTTCATGGAGAAATGTCCCCACCGAAGGGATAGCTGGACTTTGTACTTTGGAGGAAGGAATGGGAGAATGTGGAGGAGAAGATGGCAGATGAGAGTAATTAATTGGTGACCTTTATCCTCTGGGTTTTTATTGATTAAAAAAAAAAAGCCCATTGCCATTGAGTTGATTCTGCTTCACAGTGACCCTGTAAGACATGGCATTGCTGCCCAGAGGGTTTCTGAGGCTGTAAATCTCTGGAGAGCAGACTGCTTCGTTGGTCTCTCTCAGAGTGGCTGGCAGGTTCCAATCACTAACCTCTTGGTTACTCACTGAACCACTTTTACCACTGCACCACCAGGACTCCTTTATTAAGCCTTCACTGAGTGAATCTTATACACCACACTCTGAATTGTGTGCCATTATCTGACTTAAATCTTTACACAATTTTCTGAGGCAGGTACTATTTAATACTCATCACCTCCATTTCTTAGATGACAAAACTTAGGCTAAACCAAGTAGCCCATTGACATCAAGTCAAGTCGGACTGAGAGTGACTTCTCTATTATGTTTCTGAGGCTCCTCCAAATCTTTATAGGAGGAAACTGCATTTGTCTCCCAAGAAGCAACTGCTGGATTGGAACCACCAACCTTTCATTTAGCAGTCCAACACAGTATACACCATACCACCTGGGTTCCTAATACTGAAGTTTGGAGAGGTTTAATACTTGTGGCTTAGTGACTATTTCCTTCTTCCCCCCTACTCCCAAGAGAGGCCACTATCCTGAAATTTGTGTCTATCACTAGCATTTTTTTAAAGACTAATTTAACCTTGTATGTATATAGTTCCAAGTAACACAGTGTTGTTGATTGTCTGCCAGTCGAGCCTGACTCATAGCAACCCTATGAACAAAAGGCCTGAAGTTGTTTCGTTTTTCTGTGTTATAAAAAACGACATTCTAGATAAGATTTTTTGACATTTGTTTTTTTCACTCAGTCTTATCCATCCATTTAACTTGGGCTAAAGCAGTGGTTATTTTTGCTGGTGTTTGTTTCTTTTCTTTTGTGTGATAAAATATTAAGAACATGACATTTGCTATTTTAAACACATTTGAGTGTACCATCCTGCAGCATTAATCACACTAATGATGTCTGGAAACCTCAATACTCTTTGTTTCTAAAACTTCTTCATTGCCCTAAGCAGAAACTCTGTAACCAATAAGCAGTAACTAGATTTCTGTTTCTTACTTTTTGGGTGTTCAATAACTTAGTATAGTTTTTAAAAACATTCTCTTTGTCAGACAGAAAGATTTATCTTCTGTAATAATTTGTTCCTGAAAGGGTTTATTGGGTTTTTCTCAGTAAAAACAATACATAACAAAAGACACCCATTCAATGATTTCTACATGTTCAGTTCAGTGCCTTGGTTACGTAATTCACAATTTCTCTCTATATACATATTGTTTCTCCACTGTTAAACTCTCCACTCCCTAAAAATCTGTGGTTTAGAATTACTGCTGTAAAATTTATCTCACTAGATAATGCTGTTAAAAAGACTCACCGCTCAAGGCAAATGTTCCTTATTAGCTGAGCTACATCTTTGTTTAAAGATAACTTCATGGGACAGTTTCAGCTGAAGATTTAAAGTTTATTTCTAGACAATGGACTTGGAGTTTCTCTGAGTCTCAATGGATTCAGCAGTTCTCATTTTCCTAAGACTTTGAAGCTCTCTTCCACATTTTTCTCCATTTGATCAGGATCTATTGAGTGTGATTAAAACGATCAGCAGTGGTAGTTTTGCAATGGGTTTTCAGAGGTTGTACATCACACAGGAGGAGACTGCTCATGTATCTCCTGCAAAACAGCTGGTGGACTTGAACACCTGCCTTTGGATTGGCAGCATGATTCCTTACCCACTGTTGTTGTTGTTGTTATGTGCCGTCGAGTCGCCTGCGACTCATAGCGACCCTATGTACAACAGCCCTAAACTCCGCTCTGTCCTGTGCCAGTCGCACT